CTAATGCCTGTAAAAATGGTACGGCAATTATCATGGGGGATTTTAACCTACATGTAGATTGGTCGAACCAGCTCGGTCAGGGTAGCCTTGAGGAGGAGTTTGTTGAGTGTATCCGTGATAGTTTTCTTGAACAGTATGTAATGGAACCAACGAGGGAGCAAGCTATCCTAGATCTGGTCCTGTGTAATGAGACAGGAATAATTAATGACCTCATAGTTAGGGATCCGCTTGGAAGGAGTGATCACAGTATGGTTGAATTTAGAATACAGATGGAGAGTGTGAAGATAAAATCCAATACCAGGGTCCTGTGCTTGAACAAGGGGAACTACAATAGAATGAGGGAGGACTTGGCTAAAGTAGACTGGAAACAAAGATTTTATGGTGGGACAGTTGACGAGCAGTGGAGGACTTTCAAAGCAATCTTTCAAAGTGCTCAGCAAAAGTATATTCCAATGAAAAGGAAGGACTTTAAGGGGTAATCTGCCATGGGTGTCTAAAGAAATAAGGGAAGCTATCAAATTGAAAGAGAAGGCATACAAAGTGGCCAAAACAGCATGAAACTAGAAGATTGGGAAAACTTTAAAGGTCAACAGAAAGCCACAAAAAGAGCTATAAAGAAAAGTAAGATAGACATGAGAAAAAACTAGCACAGAATATAAAGACAGATAGCAAAAATTTCTATAAATATATAAAACGAAAAAGAGTGGCTAAAGTAAACGTTGGCTCTTTAGAGCATGAGAAGGGGAATTTAGTTATGGGATATGATGAAATGGCCGAGGCATTGAACAGGTATTTTGTATCGGTCTTCACAGTGGAGGACACTAATAACATGCCAGTAATTGACAAAGAGACGAAGGTAGGTGAGGACCTGGAAACAATCATTATTACGGAAGAGGTAGTGTTGGGCAAGCTAATGGAGCTAAGGATTGATAAGTCTCCTGGCCCTGATGGAATGCATCCCAGGGTACTAAAAGAGATGGCGGGAGGAATAGCAGGTGCACTGGCGGTAATTTTCCAAAATTCGCTGGACTCTGGGGCAGTCTCAGCAGATTGGAAAACAGCAAATGTGACGCCACTGTTTAAAAAGGGAAGTAGACAAAAGATGGGGAATTATAGACCGGTTAGCTTAACCTCTGTAGTGGGGAAGATGCTTGAGTCTATTATCAAGGAAGAAAAAGCAAGACATCTTGATAGAAATTGTCCCGTTGGGCAGACGCAGCATGGGTTCATGAAGGGCAGGTCATGCTTGACAAATCTTTTGGAATTCTATGAAGACATTACGAGCGAGGTGGACAATGGGGACCCAGTGGACGTGGTGTACCTAGATTTCCAAAAGGCCTTCGACAAGGTGCCGCACAAGAGGCTACTGCATAAGATACGGATGCCTGGCATTAAGGGTAAAGTATTAGCATGGATAGAGGATTGGTTGACTAACAGGAAGCAAAGAGTGGGGATAAATGAGTGCTATTCTAGCTGGCAGTCAGTGACTAGTGGTGTGCCTCAGGGATCGGTGTTGGGACCGCAATTATTTACAATTTATATAGATGATTTGGAGTTGGGGACCACGTGTAGGGTGTCAAAGTTTACAGATGAGTGGCACTAAGATGAGTGGCAGAGCAAAGTGTGCAGAGGACTGTGAAACTTTGCAGAGGAACATAGATACATTGAGTGAGTGGGCAAAGGTCTGGCAGATGGAATACAATGTAAATAAATGTGAAGTCATACATTTTGGTAGAAGTAATAGTAAAAAGGATTATTACTTGAATGGTAAGAAGTTGCAGCATGCTGCTATGCAGAGGGACCTGGGTGTCCTTGTGCATGAATCACAGAAGGTAGGTCTGCAGGTACAACAAGTAATTAGGAAGGCAAATGGAATTTTGTCCTTCATTGCTAAAGGGATTGAGATTAAAAGCAGAGAGGTTATGTTGCAGCTGTACAAGGTGCTGGTGAGGCCACACCTGGAGTACTGTGTGCAGTTTTGGTCTCCTTACCTGAGAAAGGATGTATTGGCACTGGAGGGGGTGCAAAGGAGGTTCACTTGGTTGATTCCGGAGTTGAGGGGGTTGGCTTATGAGGAGAGACTGAGTAGATTGGGATTATATTCATTGGAATTCAGAAGATTGAGGGGGGATCTTATAGAAACATATAAAATTATGAAGGGAATAGATAAGATAGAAGTAGAGAGGATGTTTCCACTGGCAGGTGAAGCTAGGACAAGAGAGCATAGCCTCAAGATTAGAGGCAGCAGATTTAGGACTGAATTGAGAAGGAATTTCTTCACCCAGAGGGTTGTTAATCTATGGAATTCCTTGCCCAGTGAAGTAGTTGACACTACTTCAGTAAACGTTTTTAAAAAAAAGGTAGATTTTTTTTGAACAATAAAGGAATTAAGGGATACGGTGAGAACGTGGGTAAGTGGATCTGAGTCCATGAAAAGATCAGCCATGATCTTACTGAATGGCGGAGCAGGCTCGAAGGGCCAGACGGCCTACTCCTGCTCCTAGTTCTTATGTTCTTATGTTCTTATATGCAGGAATGCAGAGTTGAAGTTAAAAATCAGATCAGCCATAATACTTACTGAATACAGAGTAAACACAAAGGATTGAATGGCCTACTCTTGTTCCTTGGTCATATGCTTGCAAAAGATGAATCTCCTGCAGTTTCTTACTTTGAAGTAAAATAAATTGTTGGGTCATAAATGAAACATAAAGCTGCAATTATAGTGGATTATCTTAAATGTTTTTCACTCCTGTCAAAACTAAAGAGTTCAGGTTCAGAAGTACCAGGGAAAAAGGCAACAACTGAACTGTCTACACCACATGAGAGGATGTGTAGTGGTAGACAGACAATTGAAGCATCTGAAACTAAGGTGAATCAGCTTGTCACACAGCATTACTATCTGCTCCAAATTCAAGTCTGCCGCTAGAGTCTGAAATGATGAGGAAGCGACTTGTTCAAGTAAAATGCCTGAGCTCTCACCTTCCAAAGCAGAATGCCCAACACATCAGTTAAGAATGAATCTCTCAGTAAGACAACTGAGGAAGTGGACAAGATGGTTGCACCAATAGCTCAACATAAAAAGATCCAACATATTGCAAAAAAAATGTGATAACAGGAACAACTGTGACAACTATACAGAATAGTTATACAGCACTGACCGGCTCTGCAAAAGAAATACAAGAGGTTAAGCAGCCTCCAGTTCAAAAGGAGGCCTACAGACATCAGACTATCAGGAAGACAGTCCAAGTTAAGTACCTTCTTCCCAACAAACTACCATTCTTACACGTCCAAAGAGAACACATTCTGGAAGAACAGTGAAACTTCCAGATTGGACTTTAATGGGTGGGGAACAGCAGATAATGGTAAATGTAAATACATAAACAAATATACAGCAATATAACAATTATGAGAGAATAAAAGATTTGAGAGAAGATACTGGATGTGGGTCTGAAATAAATGATTTTTAATTGAATGCAGTAGGCATATCCATAGTGTTGATGTCAAGGAGACTTTCACCAGAGTAAAGAAACAGCTTGTATGAGACAGCCCTGGAGCTATCCTGTAGCTCCTTACAGTGTCTATAGTGATGTAGGACATACTCATGTAATGCAATAAACTTCAAATTGTCTTCTCAATAAGTCTCTTCTCGTTACTGCAAACAGGAGGCCACAGTCTTACCAGACCATGAGGCTCTAGAGAGAGGTGACTGGTGATGGTTTAACCTGAGGGTTACCACGCCTCAGGCACAGGGAGAGGTTAGGAAGGAGAGTCCATTATAATAACTAGTGAGAGAGCTAGCGTGAGAATTGAACCCATGCTGTTGGCATCCCTCTGCATCACAAACCAGCTGTGTAGCCAACTGAGCTAACTGACCAGAGTGGACAGGAGGATATCCTAATCCACACTAGTCTACTTTAGGCATAACTGATAAGCTTTGGCAGTCAGGACAGGAGTCACTCGCTGCAGAACTCCCAGCTTCAGACCTGCACTTGTAGTCTCAGATTTTACACGGTTTGCTTTGATCAACCTACAATGTCTCAGTCCCACAATCATTTTACGATCTTGTAGCCTATTGCATTATATTAACCACATACAAATATTGAATTTTACATTCTGTTGCATATTTAAACCTTAAGGCAATGTACCGAAGTGTCACAAGTATTTGCACTCTAAAATACATCAAAGAGGATTGTACTGAATTCCTTTGAGGTGGCACAGAATTTAATATGAAAACAATAACACATGGACAAATATCCTGCACTGGTGTATACACACACACACACACACACACGTACACAAAGATCCCTGTTTCAGTTCCAGCATTATCAAGAGATGCTACAACTGATATCAGCTGGAAGGGGTGGGAATAGAAAATTAGCACACAGTCCTGCTCCTATTCACTACCTGATAAAGTCTTTCTGAAGGGTTCATGTCTGGATGCAAGTAAATGGTGGTCAGTCAAACACTGACTCCTACATGAACAGCAGCCACTGAACACCAATGCCTGTGCTGCTACCTCAACATTTGTCAACACCTTTGGGTGAATGGGAGAAATTTCCAAAAGAAGGGTATTTGAATCACAACACGTTGTGTGTGCGACTGCCCTGTTGGTGAGGTAGAGGAGGAGGTGGAGTGTTAGTGATGAGCACAAACACTCATCACCCATGTCACTAAGCATCGGTTTTACTCATAAATTGACTTTTTCCAGTCACATATAACTACTGAGAAACTGGGCCTAAGGAACTAGAAATGTACAAGTGCACTCATGTACTTCATTATTCTCTCTAGGCCTACCATATTGCATCTTCTACAAAATAAGTCCTTTGATGTGTCTCATTCAGTCATATGAGCTTTACTTTTATTTGAGTTCCATACAAGCAGAAGTGTTAGATGTTTTTGCCGGACAGTTGGTACTTCTGGTTCATTAGAATCCTCCTGTGCTATGCAAGTCTGAAAATTGAAATAAGTACAAGTAGCACATGCTTATTTCTGTTAGTTACCAGTGTCGATGCTTCCTTGGGAACTGTTTGCCCTTCCAAGAGGAAGATTGCGATGGCTGCTGTTCCGAAACTGGGATAATGAAGCTGTAGAATCTATTGTATTCCTCCTGCCACCCAGGACATTGGTTGGATAAAGAAACTGAGTGTACGAAACAGTCTGTGAGGAAGAGGTTTAAAAATATGCATCAGCAAAAATATATCCTGTGCTTTATTCTGCCCCAATTGTCAATTGCTAGGCTCTGTCTCTGGTATAAAATATAAATGAAGCTGCATAGGTAGTGATACAGTTTTATAATTAGTTCCAAAATATCATGGTTCTTGCAAATACACTTTCATCATTAAAACTTCACAGGATCTCTCAATAAACTCATATCTTCTCACATTTATGAAAGAAACTCATGAATGAAACACTACTGACAAGATATCCAGATTTTTGCAACTTAAGTAAAATCTGAACTTGTGAAAATAAATGCTTAAGAAAACTTCCCAACAAATTAAAAGATACAGGATTCTAATGTTGCTTCAGGTCTGAATTCACTGTGATAGGATAAAGTACTGCTCTCTCTCTTTCTCTTTCTGCATTGACTATGTGAGTGACAAATAATGATTTTGCACAATTTCATCCAAGTGTCTGATCTCAGCAGAAATCCTGTATAAAACAAATTGTCTCACTTAGAAAGGTCGTAAGAATAACAGGTATCAAAAATGGAGATGTCATAGATGCACTTACTGTCCAACATACATTTTGCTGTTTCTCAGGATCGCATTTGTGATGAATTATATGAAAAGACAGGGAAAGCTTGAATAGTTTTACCCTCAGCAGGAAAGGTTATGGACAGGTTTGATAGCAATATTCAACAGTTTGAGGGCTTTTGATGGAATAGGTAGGAAGAAACTATTCCCACTCGCAGAAAGATACATAATGAGTAGATTCAGTTATAGGATTTTTATTGTTCATTCATGGGATGTGGGAGTCACTGGCTAGGCCAACATTTGTTGGTCATCCCTAACTGGTCAGAGGGCAACCACATTGCTGAGAGTTTGGAGTCACATATATGCCAGACCAGGCAAAACTGGCATCTGCCTTCCCCTAAAAGGCACTGGTGAACCAGATGGGTGTTTCAACAATCAGCAACAATTTCACGGCTGTCATTACATTCTTAGACTGCTGTGGTAAGATTCAAACTCAAGTCCCAGAACATTACTCTGGATTAATAGCTTAGCCATAATACCACTCGGTCATCATCTCCCCAGGATAATTAAGAGGTCTAGGGGGTATCAGGAAGAAAGTTTTATTTGTAGAGAAGGACTAAGAGTTCAAGACATGTTGTCATTGAAGAATGAAGAAATTAGAAACAAAAACAGAAATTGCTGGAGTAACTCAGCAGGTCTGGCAGCACCTACGCAGACAAAGCAGGGTTAATGTTTCAGGACTAGTGACCCTTCTTCAGAACATGGAAATTACTCCTTACCACTGCATTGGCCAACATTTAATGCATAATAAGAATCGAAGAAAGATCACAGCACAGGAGGAGGCCAGAATGTCTGCGCTAGTTCTCTACAAGAGCAACTCTCATAGTTCACCAACTTTTTCACTTCAGTTCATTAGCCAATTTTTGATTGAACCAGTCTCTATCACAATCTCAGACAGGGCACTGCAAATCCGTATAATGCACTGTGTGGCAAAGTTTTCTTTTCATCAATTACTCTAAATTGGTGACTGCTAGCCCTCAGCCCAACTGCCGAAGCAATCTGTTTCTCTCTCTAACTTACTCAGACCCCAACTGATTTTGAAAAATTCTATTGATGCTCCTCTCAACCGTCTCTTTTCCAAGGAAACAGCTCCAGCTTCTCCCACTGATCTGCGTAGCCAAAGTCGCTCAGCCCTAAATCTATTACTGTGAATTTTTCTTGCAGCCTCTAATCCTTTGCTCCCTTCCTGAAACAATACTCCAGGTGAGGCTTAACCAGAGTTTGACACAGATCCATCCCAACCTGCTTGCTTTTGTACTCCATTGGAGCATAAGAGTTAGGAGCAGGAGGCGGCCATTTGGCCCTTCAAGCCTGTCCTGACATGTGATAGGATCGTGTTGATCTGATTGTGGTTTTAATTCTGCTTCCCTGTTCGCCCCCATAATCCTCGACTTCTTTGTCTATTAAAGATTTAACAGCCTCGAATAAGTTCAATAACCACCATCCACCGTTCTGTGGGAAGAGAATTCTACAAACTAGTGACCATCAGAGAAGAAAAAAATGCTTCCTTCATTTCCATTTTAAAAAGCCAAACTCTTATTCTTTTATTGTGTCCCCTCAGTCTTCTGTGTAAGAGGAACAGCTTCCCAGTATCCACCCTGTCAAGTTCCCTGAGGATCTTACGTGTTTCAATAAACTCATGTCTCATTCTTTGAAAGTCTAATGGGCACAGACCCAACTTATTCAAACTGTCTTCATAAGATAAGCCCTTTATCCCAGGAATGTGTCAAGTGAGCCTTCTCTAAACCACTGCTAATGCAATTATATCCTTTCCCAATAAGCTGACCAAAACTACATAGTACTCCAAATATGGCCTCACCAAGGTCTGTACCATTACAATAACATTTTCCTACATTTACATTCCATTCCTCTTGCAATAATTCCGGCATTCCATTTGACTTCCTAATCACCTACAATATCCACATGCTAACTTTTTGTGATTCATATAGGAGAACATCCAGAAGCCTCCGTACCATGATTTCTGCAACTTTTCTTTATTTAAGTACTGTTTTTAATTCTTCCTGCCAAAGTGGACAATTTCACATATTCCCATATAATATTCCAGCTGTCACTTACACTGCTCACTCACTTAAGCTCCCTAGGTTCCTCTGCTGTTAATTCTCACCAGTCACATTTCACACGACTGAATGATTTAACTTCCCGTGTTGGACAATTATTGCAGACTGCGTTAGGAAATGGCAACTTTTTTTTGAAAAACACAAAATCAGTCATCATTTTGTTCATGTTTATTGGGGTGAATTTCAGATTTTTGTCCTGCAGCTCCACCTTTTTTGATGAAAACACTTTACCACATCCCTACAGCCTACTTTCTAATCTATTTTGACGTAATTGGCAAATTCAGCTACCATACATTCTGTCCCCTCTTTCAAATCAGGGATAAAGACTGTAAACAGTGGAGACCCTAGCACTGATCCCTGTGACTTCCTCTAGGTCAGCTTGTCAACCCCAATAAAAACAATTATCATTAATTTCTGCTTCCTATTAGCTAACCCAGTCCTTCATTCATCCAAATTCACCCCTGCCATGTTATCTTATTTTGCATAGTAACCTTTGATGCACCACTTTATCAAACGCCTTTTGTCCATCACGTACACCATTTTGACAGGGTCCTGTTTAATCGAGCTAGAAACAGCAGAAGGCTACGCCATTTAATACCATCATGGCTGATCTGATCTCAGCCTCAACTTCATTCTCCTTTCCAGTATCCACAACACTTCAGCCCACTGCTAACTAAAAATTTGTCTATCTTCGACTTAAATTTACTCGACATCCCATCAACCACCACATCTGGGTAATGAATTCCAGAGATTCACAACCCTTTGAAAGAAGTAATTTTAGTGATTGTAACAAGGTCAGCCAGCTGGACCTCAGAATATGAGTTTACTAATTGGGGCTGTTGTTCTAATCCAATCAAGGAGCCCTGGCTGACAGATATAAACAGGAGTATCAGACGTCCTGTGCACCCTGAGAGCTGGCTCTGAGGGAGGTGGATCAGTGTCAGGGACTCTCCACGTGTAAATAAAGGGTAACTTGGTGACAAGATACCAGCCTCTATGAAGTTATTTCAGTCATTTCTCATCTGTTTTCAATCTGCTGCCTTATCTTATCTCTATCTTGCTTTGTGTCACACCTTTACTTAGAAAAAGATCCAGAATAAACACAACAATAGCCCAATCATTTAATCTTGATACTGGAAAAGCTTTTAGATGTGATAATTTGTGACAAAATTAACAGTCACTTGGACAAATGTGAATTAAATGGAAAATGCAGCGTGGATTTGCTAAATTCAAGTTTCATTAACTTGCTTTTCATTTTAGATGAATAAAACAGAGAAGGTTAATGAGGAACACATAGTTAATATGATGTACACATAAGGTTTTTGGTAAACTCCCACATAACAGACTCGCCAACACAACTGAAGCCCATACAATAAAAGTGTCTGTGACAGCAATGAATACCAAGTTGGCCAAGTGACAGGAGACAGAGGGATGGTGAATGGTTGTTTCTCAGTTTGGAGGGAGATGTTTGATGGCTTTTACAGGAGTTGGCATTGGACCAGTGCTTCTCTTGATCTGTCACATAGATGTTTGTTATGCTTTCCCTTGCTCTCCAATCACTGACAATATCAATGCAGATCAAGACTAATTTGTCTCAACTCTTCCCCCTCATGGGAATACACCTCAATTGTATCCAAACTGTCACTTTTTTGAAAACAGGCCATATGTGTTACAGTTTTGCCTGAGAAGGCTGGAGTCTAACTTAGAGTCATGGAGATTTACTGCACAGAAAAACACCCATCAGCCCACCAAATCTGTATTGGTCAAAAACAGCCAGCTAACTATTCACATTTTCCAGTACTTAGCACAAAAATTTGTGACATTGCAAGTATACATCTAAATACTTGTTAATGTACTATAAAAGGTTTCCAAATCTACTACCCTTTCATACAGTGAGTTTCAGATTCCCACCACCCTCTGGGTGAATTTTTCTTTCCCCCCTTTCAACTGCTCATGGTGTTTCAGACATGCAGCTGCTCTGTAATATGGAGATATTTGTCTCAGTGACTGCTGTTTGAAGAATGTTGGAAACAGAGGTTGAAAAAAATAACGAAAGACAAAGAACAATACAGCACAGGAACAGGCCCTTCGGCCCTCTTAGCCTGCACTGACACATTTTGCCCTTCCTTACTAAAACTGTCCTCACTTACAGGATCTGTATCTCTCTATTGCCTTCCTATTCATGTATTTGTCCAGGTGCTCCTTGAATGTTGCTATTGTGTCTGCTTCCACCAGCTCCTCTGGCAGCGCGTTCCATGGCACTCACCACCCTTTGTGTGAAAAACCTGCCTCGCACATCTCTTTTCAACTACACCCCCCCACCCCCAACCCCTCACCACCCCCCACTTGCACCTTGATCCTGTGTCCCCTAGTAAATGAAACCTTCCACCCTAGGAAAATCCCTCAAACTTTCCACTCAATCCATGCCATTCACAATTATAAACCTCTATCAGGTCACCCCTCAACCTCCTGCATTCCAGTGAAAACAAACCAGCCTATCCAACCTTTCTTCAGAGCTAAAATCCCCCATACCAGGCAACATCCTGGCAAACCTTTTCTGTACCCTCTCCAAAGCATCCACATCCTTCTGGTAGTGTGGCGACCAGAACTGTGTGCAATATTCCAAGTGTGGCCGAACTAAAGTTCTGTAAGGCTGCAGCATAACTTTTCTATCCTGATACTCAATGCTGCAGAGCTCCTACTGTACTATATGATACTATGATTCCAGATACAGTCCCTTAAAATTGTTTGACCCCACCATTAGACTCCATGCCTTCACAACCTGGTCCTTAAAAATTCTCTCTCTAAACAATTACTAGTCTTTTGAAAATTAGTCCAAATATATCTTGTTAAAATGTTTGGTGTTAAGTCTTGCTTCATGTCTTGGGACATTTCACCCCAATACAGACATTTTTTTGTTTTTTGTTTGCTCACATTTCCCCCTTGAAACTACACACAAGGAACTTCTCATTGGGAATCCTAGATTTCGAGCTGTTAGAATCTATTATCATGGGTTGTGGCTAAGGTTTCCTTTAGCAAATCTCGTGCACAGCAGTGTGCACTGTAGAAATTCACCAAGGATCCTTAGACACACCATGCAAACCCGCAAACCCACGAACACTTCTGACTAGAAGGACAAAGGGCAGCAGATAAATGGGAACGTCACCACCTGCAAGTTCCCCTCCATGCCACTCACCACCCTGACTTGGAAATGTATCATCGTTCTTTCACTGTCAATGGGTCAAAATCCTGGAATTTCCTCTCTAAGGGCATGTGGGTCAACCTACAGCACATGGACCGCAGTGGTTCAAGAAATCAGCTCGTTAGCACCTTCTCAAGGACAACTGGGGATGGGCGAAAAATACTGACCAGCCAGTGACGCCTATTCCCATGAGTAAATAAAAGTATCTCACTCGAGGTCCAACACAAAAGAAACTCCACAACTTCAGGCATCTCTATGCAGATTACTTTTTAAGCGAGGAAGTCCCTTAGAAAAGATAGATGATATGTTGGTTTTATCTTCCCAGAATTCCCTAGACATGGGAAAGGTTCTGTTAGATTGGAAAATAGTGAATGTAGAGTCTTTACTCAAAATGACAAGAGACACAGAAAGGTATGGGTCAGTGAGCTGTCACAGGGAAGATGTTAGAAGCTATTATTAAAGATGTAATAGCAGGTTACTTAGAAACATTTGTGGTAATCAAGGACAGTCAACATGATTTCCTGAGATGGAAATTGTGTTTAATCTGTTTCTTGGGATTCTTTGACCAAGTAACTTGTGCTCTGGATAAACAGGAGATGGTGAATGCGCTGCACTTTGATTTCCAGACAGTATTTCTTAAGGAGCCACACCTGAGGTTACTGCAGAGAATAAAAGCAATTGCTGTAGGAGATAACATACTGACATGGATAGAAGATTAGCTAGCTAATAGGAAATAGACACTGCAATCTTCCCAGTCATACCCACCTTGCCATCAGCACCTAGTTCCACTCCTTCAAGACCAATCACCATCTCCTTGACACCGATACCACCTGAAGAATGCCTCTGCCTCCCGCCCTCAGCTTTCAAATCCCTGAAAATACAGAATTACTACAAATCACTCACAGCAGAGGGTTAGAGAAAATAGAGTGCATGGAACTTTTGTCCTTCGTCTCTGTGGATCTACAGTAGATAGATTTTGCGTCAAAGCAAAGCCAAAGCAAACCAGTACTTTCTGCATTCATCATTAAGATGATGGTAGTTGCAAGTTCCCTTTCAGTTGACACTACGTAAAGACTTTAAACTTCCCTTCTCCAACGGCCAGCAACCCTCCCTCCCCTCAACTTCATGTCATGGCCCTGACTTCAATGAATGGGGCAGAGTGGTGTTGGGAAAGGGGGCAGGGTGGCGTTGGGAAAGGGGCCAGGGTGGCATTGGGAAAGGGGCCGGGGTGCACACTTGCCGTCAAGAGAGAAGACAGACAGGCCTGACGTCAGCACAAGCACCTGGACATAACCAAGGTGAGTGAGGAGAGTCGTTCTGGCTGGGCAAATGGAATAGGGCTAGAGAAACGCAAGGCAAAGGAGAAGATAGGCCCAAAAGAAAGTTAAAATTAGGTTTTTATGACTTCTCTGCCCACTGGCCTTTTCCAGCCCATGACCTACCTCCTATTTAGGTCTAGGCAGATATTGGGAACAGTCACAGGGGAAGGATAGGAATGAAATTAATGTCGGTTAGGCGATGAGTGCTAGCAGGGTGTTTGAACTTGGAGATGGGGGCAGCACCTCAGCACAATCTGGCCTTGACCCAGAGCCTGCCCACAGCATTTACATTGCAGCAGGGGTCAGGCAGAAACAAGGACACTTGCCATCAGCACCATTCCCCTCCTTGCTGGGACAGTTGAACCAACAATGCCCAGACCCAACAGTGACTTAACTCAGCACAGAGTGGAACATATCCTTTTCCTTTCACAATCTAATAGCTGCTGAATAAAAGTAGAACCAAGTGGGAACAGAGTTAAAGACTTCTTGAGAGTTTAGTGAATAAAAGCAATTTGAAACCAAGGTTCTGCAAAGATGGCTACATTTTCTCAAAAGCTATTAATTTTTCTGAAATGTTTCTGTTGTAAAGAAAGCCTTTAGTTGGAAAATCTGTCGTCATTGTTACAGTTGTAAAACATCCCCATCAACAAAAGCAAATGACAGATAATTGTTAATATCGTTCTCCATATGGTCATCTGGCATTCATCATGTTCTGAAAAATATTAGCTTTCAAAGTTCTGGAAATAACATTGCACATTTGTGAATAAATAAATGTTATTACTTTCCATTGTTCAATGAATACTACTTGTTAAATTACCATACAACACCTTCACATTACTCATGCTCTCAGCACACAAATATAAAGAACAGCTATTTGGACAAAAGAGCATATCATGGGAATACAACACAGATTTCTGTAAGCTTATACAGAAACTGCAGCTTATCATAACCAGTCATATGTCCACATCACAGGTGCCCACTCTGACTCCTTTTGCATATTCTCAAATCAATCTATTTTTCAGGTATTTGTCTACTGCTTTCTGAAGTGTTGTAGTTAATTTGGCTTCAGTCACCACTTGTATGCAAACCCATCAGATATACCGGTATGTTTGTGAGAATGCAACGGTCAGATCTAAGTAATAACATTAAGCTGGCATTTTAAAAGAATGTAATGAGATACTTAAATCATATTAGGCATGTAATAAAAGGTAATGTTGAAGGTTACTAAATGCAGATTAAAATAACTCGGATAAAGTAAGAACTGCAGTTGCTGGAGTCAGAGTCAATACAGCGTGGAGCTGGAGGAACACAGCAGGTCAGGACCCTTCATCAGTAAAGTTGTTACAAAGGTGTATAAAATATAAATGAAGCATTCAGCAAGCCTGGCGCATGTACTTGACCCACACCTTGGCTTTAGCCATCAATAAATACAGCAAGTCCCATCAGTTAGTCACAAGCCATTACCAGGTAGAGTATCTCAGCAGACAGGAAGGAAACGCACAAATATAATTTAAGTGAATAACCATTTTAAAAAACCCAAAATGTCACATACACAGTAAAAGATGGAATATTCTCCTCAAACCATTTGATGTCTAACGCAGTGGGAAAGCACAATGGCTTCCAGCTAAGATTAATACAGCAATGAAGAAGCTATAGCAGGCAACTTTGGAATTGATGCTTATGTAAATAGATTTTGGTGTTCACCTTCTAGGCCTAATACAAGAGACGATCCCTTTTAAATGTGGGTGTTTTAAGTGGTGACTCATATATTCCATAACGTAATAACCGACTCTTAATTTCTTGCCCATTATGCTGCTCTTCCAAATCTACAGAAAGAAATACTGCGTGGACTTGTCTGGTACACTTCAAACAAATGTAATCGTTGAGATACTTCCAAGAAGAAAAAAAGACATTTCCTGCAGTCACCTTCACAAGCAGTCTACTAGACGGTTATTTCGATAAAGCCCCATTTAATAAACTTAGTAAGTTTTTACCTTCATAACTCATGTTTGTACAATCAATGCTGAATATAAGAACTCCCCTATAAGCTGAGTTGAACCCCTGAATTCGGCTGAGTGAGCAGATTTCGGACAGTGAGCTGTCTCAATGAGCATCTGAGCTAAGAGGAGGAGAGCCATCCAGAGTTCCTGTCAGTGGAATGAACAGATCAGAACACGATCAAGCTCGGGCATGATGCATCTGTGGTCAAACAGCCTGCTAATATTCACCGTCCAGGGACAGATGTGAAAAACTGCCACTGGAGTGACAGTACAAAGACTTCATACTCTATGTCACCATGAATGACCATCACCTGGACAGGAAAGAAGCAAACAGGAAAATACCAAAGATGAAGAAAAATGTTGAAGTTCAGCAAAATTGGCTCTATCTGGCATCGTCAAGTGGACATTAGGAATGTCAGATCATCCATGATCCTACTGAATGGCGTAGCAGGTTTGGGAGCGGCAGGGGGTTGGGGAAGCCTGCAGGGGTGAGTGGCCTACTGCTGCTCCTATTTCTTTCTGGTTTTATCCCACCAACGGGACTTCTCCACCAACCTGAATCTCTAATATCTCCCCTGGACATCACTGTTACTGCACAAAATACCGATTATGTCAGCCTGCAGTGATTGTGAAAGAACTGGCTGAAGGTTGATATATTATGCCTGCAGTATTTACAAGACTCAAAGACTAAAAAGTGGAGAGGCTCCACAAGTTGCAGTGCACGTATGGTCGTGTTTTTGTTCAATTTCTACTGTTACGATCATCTACAAAGGGCTAACTGGCATTGTTGATTAACTAGCACCTCTGGATTCTAGTGTGTGCCAGTTAACACAGATGTTACTGTATCGTGAAGCCAGATTAGCCTTAATGAGTGAGGAGACCAACAGCCTCCATGTTAAAACAACCACAGCTATGATAATTAAAATGTCTGAAAACCGACTGTACATTTTCACAACCACAGCATCATCTTTAGACAACATCCCAAAGTGAAGATGGATGAACTCTCATTTACCAAGGAGTCAAAGGGATACCTTTTCTCTTGCCAACACTTAGGCTGTTGAGAGAATAATGATTCCCATTTTTGCTAAGGTGACCGCATTTCAATACCTTTGCAAGATCCCAGAGTGAAGATTACAAGGGCTGAGGGTGGAATTTAAAATTGCTCAATTCGTTCCGAGGTGGTGAACAGCCAGCAGTTTGCAGGCCGCAGCTACAGCAGCAACTGGCCCTCAGACAACCAAAGGAAAGGAAATCTCGACCATTTTATGGGGCCTCCCAGCAATCAAAACTCAATCTAAACCCCTCGGCTGCTATATCTATTTCACAGCTTGTGACCAACAGTTTCCAAACCCTGAAACAGAGAGTAAAGGATAGGACATGGCTTTACAAAGTACCTTTCACAACCTCAAATGTCACAAGGCCTACTGATCCACAGATATTTATCGAAATAGTCACAGTTGTAATGTAGAATTCAATTTGCACAGAGCCCTAAGATAAACGATCAGGCAACCTGTTAACTTGATGTGACTTTAAGGATAATTATCGGTCAAGGCACTGGGAAGAACCACCCCTCTTTTCTTCAAATATCACTTTGGGACCTTTTACGTCTATTTTAGAGGTTAGACAAGAGGTTAACAGAGATTAGACTTGGTTTAATGCCTCAACAAAAAAGAAGGAAGCTCAAAAGGTGCAGCACTCTGTCAGTATTTCATTGGCGTAACGTGCTGGGTTATGTGCTCAAGAGATTGGGACTTAAACCTACAACTTCATTACTCAGTGGCAAGACTGCTACCACTGAGCAAAAGCCAACACAAATCAGCTTCATTAGTAAACAAGCATTTCAAAACTCTAATTTTGTTGCCAGTTAGTTAATTACACCCAGATTTTACGAGATGGGAAATCTCCCACCCTCCCATGCACTGGAGGTCAGTGCTTTTAAGCTCTGAAGGACACAGGTCTGTTACTTCAACCCCTTGCAGACTGCTTCTCAGGATTCTAGGAAGATTAATATTTCCTGACTTCCAGTCACATCGATGGAGCCAACATTCTGTTTGCGTTGGTTCTCAGGTGTAGAAAGGAGAGGTTACATGAACAAGATCCAGGAATTATGAGCAAGGTCCAGGAATTGTGTGCAATACAATTACTAGAGAAATGATGTGCAAAGCATGTTCATTAATTTCCTAATGTTTAGTCTACACTGCAACCTGTGGAGTTTGATAGCACTCGATGTGCCTCCTGCAATCTCCCGGGATTTCCGGCACAGCCTTAATAGATCTGGCATTGTTCTGCTCATGCTTCATAATATTGACATGCACAGCGTAGTGTAATGTTGTTGTAGTGCTCACACAGAAGAAATGCTAATAATATTGTTCTGGTTGGATGGAGGCCGATTGTTTTAAGATAAAAATGTACAAGATGATTAATGACGAGCATAACAGAAACACATGGCAGTGATCAAACTATTACCGAATAGTAAAATGTTCACTATATGGAGAGTGGTGCATTGGACGTGGTACGGAATTGTAACATATAGCTTTTTATCTTTCTTTGAA